TGGTGGACCACTACCTCAAACCTATCATTAGACATCCCTACACTGCAAATGGAAAAGGGAGACCACTCATTAACTTAAATTAACACACCATGGGACCAATTCCAACACCCAACGACAGTACTTTTTCCATAAACCCCTCACCATGCCACAAATATAATCATATTTTAAACACAAAAAATATAGAATCCACCCATTAAAGAAAAAGCAAATACAGAATCCACCCATTCAAGACAACAACATAAGTAACAACAGTAATGCGATCAATGACTATAACAACAACATAAGAACAGTAATGCGATCACTAACCTTGAAGTTGATTTCACCAAAAATAAAAATCTGCACTCTTGGAAAGGAGATTGTTGAATCCTAAATCGCCCCGAAATCGCCAGCAGATTTTACCCCAAATGTAATTAATTGTAAAATTTTTTTAACCCTATCTTTTAAATTAATTTATTTTAACACATATCAGCAATTCACAATGCCACCTCAACCAAAACTGTACAACTCATCAATTTTGTGTCAGCTGGGCAGCTGTGCCGTTAGTCTTTTTAACGTCGTAACCAAAAAGGACTAACGTGCATCGTTTTTGCGAGAAGTAGGATGTTAGTGAACTTTTGAAAAAAAGGAGGATCACTTTGAACAGACCCTACGAAAAGAGGGACCAAAATACCTATTAAACAATTAATTAAAGACCAAAAGCTTGTAGTTTATACGTACATCTTTTTAACTAATAAAGCTTCAATGTGATCTTTCATTATCCCTTCTGCATTTGTATAGATATCTTCGTCTTTGTAAAGCACGTCGATCACACGTGCAAAGTTGACCACACGCATAAGAAAATTCATTGGTACTTGAGTAGGAGCTAAGCATGCATCGTTTATGTCCTTCCAAGCATTCTCAACTAACTTGCGTAGTTCTTCAATGACACATTTCCTAGAGATTTTATGCTCCTTCATATAACATTGAATGCTTGAAACAACATGTTGTCTCTCCTGTTCAAACTTCACAGACAAAAATAGCAACAAAAGAAAAAACAGAATCCAAATAAAATTAATATTACAGGATTTACAAATGATCTTAGAAAAAATATTATTTCTTTATCTTTTAAAATTTTATGAGTTTTGCAATTGCCAACTCTTAAAATAAGACAAATTTCTTATATAAACTCAAATTACTTATAAGTGGTTCATATAGTTTATAAAGAAACTGACAAGTACAATAATTCTATTATTATTATTTCTTCTCGACATATTTTCTAAAATTATGTATAATTTGTAATTCTCTATATTTAGTTAAATTGATAGAAATTAATTAGTGTGTAGGGTGCACCTCATCTCCAACAATGTCATCCATGATCCTAAGCAGAAGTATAGAAGCTGCAATAATTACTAGTTCATTCGTTGCCCATAGAAGGATCTCCTCTGTTGTATCTTCCATGCCTAGGAAGGATGAGGTAATCAAGAGAGGGTAACCACTGGACGTTGTTCTTACTTGCATGTATTCCTCCACTGTTGGAACGTGGTTGGAATGGCACCATCTTGCCTCAACCATCTGAGCCTGGACTAGTCTTTTTATCTAGCATAAAGGCACAAATTTAAATATATAATATTCAGAAATATATACCACACTTTTCACTGGATATAAGAAAAAGATGGTCACACTTTGTGTATGCCAAATCCTACGGGTTTTGGAATATGAAAATTTTAAAGCTACACCTTTCAATCTTTCTACATCTATCTAACTTTAAATAAAATATTAATATTTTAATTATTCTACCTTATGCATCTCATTTTATTTTATATTTTAAAATAAAATTGTTTATTTAGTGGTGAATAGTCACTAGTGAAGTAAAGGAAAACAACAACGATTATTTTTATCTATCCGCAGCGGTTCCGCAACTGAGGTATATAGAGGCGAGGTAAAAAGTCCACCACTCTTTGTTTCGGTTCTGAACCAAGACAAAAAGGTGTATGCTTCTGCCTCGGTTATTGGTGAACCAAGTCAGTACAGGGGGTCTTATGCCTCAGTTTGGAGTTGAACCGAGGTAGTAGAAGGGTTTTTTTATATTTTACGAAAGAATACATTATTGTGGCAGGATATTAATTTGTATTAATAGATGCATTTGGTGGTCCCATTACACATATAATGTTGTGACTAGGAATTAATCCATACTTCTTCAATGGCCACAAGTCTAGAAATCTGGAAAAAAGCAGTATGCAGTCCTTTGGATAATTGTCTAAGGAAAAAGTGATTTTTGGAGTAAAACATCAAAAGGGAAAAATTGAGAAGTACTAAACTAGCTAGTAATATAGGACAAAACTAAAAAAAATTCTTCTACAGGTTGAGTATAATATTTTGCAACCAAAACAATTTCTCACCATTTGCATTTGCACATTCAGCTACAAGTTCAATAGCATATTTATGTGGGCCTATTACTGTGACTCTTTTTCCTTTGATCAATTCAGCAGCATAACTCACTAGTGTAGAAAAGTCTTTTAATGTCTGTTATTTTGACCTTTTAATGTCAGATCCAGACCCGATGTCTTTGTGGGTGACGTTAATCAGACGTCGGACTGTATACACCAATCGTCCATATAGACGTCGGACTGTATATACCAGACGTCTATATAGACGTCGGATATTGATATACCAGACGTCTATATAAACGTCGGATGTGGGTATACCAGACGTCTATATAGAGGTCGGATGTATCCATATCTGACGTCTATAGACCCTGTAACGTTTTGTCCACTGTAACTCACTAGACGTTTGTTTGTGCACTGACAGACGTTTATAGACGTCGGACATGGCATTAACAAACGTCTACTGTTTTTTTTTAAAGGATTAATTTTTTTTTACAATAAAATCACACCTGAAAAACAGAAAATTGTCCTAAAACAGTATACTAATATATATATATATACATATATATATATATATATACATATATATATATATATATATATATATATATATATATATATATATATGCGTTTCAACTAAAGAAAGTTCTAATTAATCCAAAAAGCAATCCAATACCAAAACTATCAAAATATATACTTAAACTAAACCTAAGTAATGTTCAACAACAAATATAAGTGTTCCTAGCTCCATCTTTGTAGAAGATAAGTTGTCCACTCCTGCAATAGTGACTTTGCCATAAAAAATCATCCATAATAATGTATTAAGTAAATAAAATAAGTGGAAATACCACCAACGTCTTGAAAATCAGAAAAAAAAGTACCTTTTTAGCTTTTGTAAGAATCAAAGGCTTATTGGTTTTGATGCAATGAGCATTGCGGAGGTTGTCATCCCCAAAAATCAATTTCTTCCCCACTACCAACGCCAACAACAAATGAGAATCAACCACCAGCTCCTCTGTAATAATCAGCCACTCCACCCTCCCTTCCAGCAAACCTTGTAAGCAACGACTCTCACGTGTGTTGCCATCCTTTGCATCATCCCGGATGCCTAACAAAAAAGACTTACGCTTGAAACCACCGATCTCGCGACTGTGCTAGCTGTCTGGGTGTCGTGACCATCATCTTCGCGAGGAGATCTAGACTCCTCAGTCTCATTAATAGGACCCAACATGGCCTCGCAACCCTTGGCAAAGAACTTGACTCCGATCAACTTTCTATTCCAATTGGAAGCACTGAAGTTCGTTCATGTTAAAGGGACCGCCGACATGGTTGGGGTCGTTGTCACCCATCGGAGGTCTCATCAATGGAGTGGGACTCGAGGACGAGGCCATACTCAGAGCAGACGATGTCGCCAATGGAGTGGTCGGGGACTAGGCCGCACTCGGAGTAGACGACGCGAGAAAGAAGGCACTCGGCCACACTAGGTTTTCCTTGCTTGAATGAGGCATTTGGGGAAAAATTTCATCTTTCACATATTAGAAAGACTTATATGTCTTAATCCTTCCTACCCCCGAGGCAGTAAAGGCTTATATTCCTCGGTCTTTCCTATCAACCAAGGCAATATCTCTGCCACCACAAATGTACCAGGTGAAAGGTGTAATTAATATAATATTTGTGGGGTTTATGCCTCGGTTAATCTTGCCAACCGAGGATTATTCTCTTTAGATATTGGTTACTTAACAATCGAGGCATATAGTGTTATAATATTATGAAACTGCCATCAAGTTTTTATACGCTTCAGTTTTGCTGGAACCGAAGCGTAATATACGAGTTAAAAATATGATGTCTTACTAGTGAGTATAAAGTTAGAAATTGATGTCTGTATTTTGTAACCCATCAAATAATAAAAATTTTATTTTTCTATTGAAAAGAAAATTTCATAAGACGAACGGGTGTATAGTATACTACCGAGATGAAATCATCTCGACCTTAATTAGGAATATTATTAATATAACAATAAAAAGATAAAATCCTCTTATTAAGATATCTTAAGTATTCCTATATTAGACCCTATATATTTGGCATTGGCCCATTCAACATATATAACAGATATAAAAGTGTGTTATTTACGAGATAGAATTTTTTTATTCATTTGTTACTGTTTTTATTGCATCTTATAGTCGGAGTATCTTGTAGCCACCCCCTCAACTTATAGGCAAAAGAGGAGTAATCATCTCATATTAGGAAAAGGTTGCTAAAGGAGGATCTTGTAAGGGAATTTCAATACTAAAAAAAAGATCTTTTGTCTCTCTGCTGTAGCCCTTCCCAACCTCTAACTACACCATATACCTTACCATGTAGCTTGCAAAATAGCATATGTAACAATGTTATATTAACTGCAATAAAAATCATCAAAAATAACAATAACAAAGGGTTAAACTTAAGATAGGTAGGGTAGAACATAAAACGGGTAGGGTCGACATTAAAATAGATAGGATCAACCTAAAACTAGATAGGGTGAAGCTTAAAAGGATGACATTTAGAGCTCAACAAGTCTCCAACACGCACTTCAACACCAACACTTACAACTACAGATCGTGTGAGTTCAATAACGCTATCACCTTCAGAATCTCCTCATTCGATTATATCTCGTCCCCCAAAGTGCTAAAGACAAAATGGTCCATACGTCTAAATGCTCTAATGTTTTGAAGTTTAATTAAATAACATTAAAATGGGATAATAATCAGAAAACGACTTAGGGTGAAACTAGAATCCTCAACATAAAAAACTTAGGAAAACTCTTACGTCCTTAGGACATAGAAAAACATCTAGGTCAAAACACCCAGACGCATTGCTAAATGTTGTTGTGCTTAAAGAGTCTACGAGAGACTAAGTTAAACGCTCAATGCTTATTGTTGATAGGGGGAGCACAGTGTTAGTTAAACTCAATCCCTGTGATGTTTTATTTTTGATGATGGCAACACATTGTTAATAAAAACACATGTATGTGTATTGTGTTATGTGTGTTATATGTGTACATGCTTACTATGAAATATACACATATTGTGTTTGTCACATTTGATTGACATATTGTATTGATTGATGCATACTATTGTGCTTATGAAGTGACTATATCCGTGTATGCACAATTGTTTTAGTGATATAAAAATCACATGCACAAAAGCATGTCTATATCACTTAATTAATTACAGTGGTGTGATAATCAATTAAGGTCATCAAATAGCTTGAGTTTTAAGGTATAATATTGTTGAGAATCAAATAAGTTTAAGATATCGACTATTTGATCCATTCATCCTAGCAAATAATGTTAGACAATTTTACAACGTCCAATAACCAACATTTCACAACATTGACAAAGGTGGTTGGTGTGTTTCAATACAAATCAAGACTAGGAGTCGCATTGAGTGAAATCATCTCGAAGAAGATATCCCCTGCCAAGTTGATGAAATGTCACATGACAGTAAAATTATTGTAGTTAAAGGTGTAACTGCATTGCAGGACTTTGATAACGATCTTGAAGAAATAAAAGAAGAAGAAGAAGATGAGGACGATGAAGAAAAAACAATCATGATGATTATGATGATGACAATCATGATGACAATGATGATGAGGACGACGAGGATGGTGATAGAATTTGAAACTGACTTTTGTGTTTGCAACAAATTTATCTTTCGTTTCGTCTCAAGATGTACAACATGCATCTGATGATCCTGCAGATGGACTTGACTTTGCTCCGAACGATAAATCGATCATTGAACCTTATGGTTGAGGGTAATATGAAATCTTCTTTCTAACTAATTTTTATTACATTCTTTGTTTAACTTGGCCTGCATATTCTAACTTTTATGTATTCATTTTTAGGTTTCTTCCTTCTAGAGTTGTTTCACAAGCCATCATAAGGTCTATTTAGCAACAATTTCTCCAACCTAAGTCATCATGGGGACCAATCTCTTAGAGTATTTAATACCCTTCTAGTAGCGATTTAAGGTAAAAAAATCCCACAACTTAATCTCATTTTATATATGATTTCACCTATTAAGTCCATTTGTTTTATTTTTACATGATCTACCGTAACAACAAAAGGTGTAGTGGAGACCTAAGCATAAAGCTCAAATTAAGAAAAATTTGCACACAAAAGCATATCACAAGTTGTCAGAAATGTTTATAGATGGACGCATTACAGGAGAATGT